CATAGAATTCAGATAAGCCTTCGACTGACAGACATGCCCACATCTGAGCAGCTGGGAAGCAAGCGGTCCTCACCCACGGAGACAAGGTTGCTGTAGTTCTCCAGCATCACATCCCTGTACGTCGTCTTCTCCTCAGAAGCCAGCTGCTGCCACTCCTCCTGCGTGAAGTCCACAGCCACATCCTGGAATGACATGGGGCCCTGCAATCACAGGTAGGAGTTAGGCCACAGGCACCTGCAGACGACAGCTTCCCAAGCTCACTGGGACAGTCAACCAGGAGACTTTCTGTAGTATTTTTCTACTACTGCCTGTGGGAGGAAAGCCCGCCTATCAAAACACACTGCCTTGGGCTGGAGAAAAGTGCTCCCAGCAGGACTGGGAGTGTCAGAGTGCATTTCCAGAACCCAAGCAAATGCCAGGGGTCATGGCAGTCCGTCGGTAGTCCTAATCTTGGAAGTCAAGACAGGGGCTCTCCAGAGGAAGCTGGCTAGTGAGACCAGCCATGCTGGAGAGCTTTGCATAAGAGATCCTTCCTAAGGAATAAAGTAGATGGGTGACTACTTTAATTAATAAGTAACCCTAAGCCACAGGGGAGAAAAGGCATGTGAGGCCTGTCCCTTAACTTCTTGGACATTGAAAGTCATCACCAGGACCAGGAATGTGACATATGCCTTTAACCCTGGCTGAAGAGTTCCAGGGTAGACTTCAGCTACACGCCAAGATCCCTTTTCAAACCAAGCAATGATGCAAATAAAAACAAGGCAAACGAAGAGAAGCTACCCAGACCATAAGAGAAAGCTGAATGTGGGGACAGAATGCGGAATCGCTCTGAAATAAGTGCTTTGGCAACAGAACAATGAAAGGAACAGGAGAAGGTCCATCAGGGGGCTGAAGACTGACTTATTTAGAAGCGCTGGGTCTGCCTGGTGTCGCCCGGCATCCAGAGATGCTCCGCAGGCAGCTGGCTCAGCCACAGGCGGAGCAGCCCAGAGCCGCTGGTTAAAGCCAGGACAGCGAGATGAGAGCGGGTGGACATGGAGGACTGTAGACGCTAGCTTTTCAAATCTACCTTATCTGGGGGTTCCTTGAAGTTTATACCTCCCTTCTAAGCCCCCAACCCCAGGTAGGAGAAAAAGAAGGCTGTACGGGAAAGGGGATGCAGCCCTCTTCTTCCTGCTGGGTAGAGGTGCAGGCTTCCTTTGGGGACAACACCAATATCTGTCATCAGGAAATCCAGAAGTCCAAGTAAGCCAGCACACCAGCAAGCTGTCCTCCTCCAATCCACCACGCTTTTCTCTTCTGGGCTGTCATAGTCATAACCCTTAGAGTCCTCAGAATTCAACTCATTCCAGCTGGCAAAGGCCACATTCCCCACGAGACAGTTAACAGGTGTGGACAAACTAATGTCCTCCACTTGGGATTATAACAAAAACATGTCTACATATCACAAACCCAAACGTCCACAACAGAGGACATCGAGAGAGACATCACAGAAACTGACGGGAGGCTAAGGAGAGCCCTAAAGATAGGACAGGTCAATAGAGTGAGTGTGTGAGTGTGTGTGTGTGTTACAGCACCGCTGGAGAGCTGAGGCTATGGACCAGTACAATCCATCATGGAGAGTAAGCCAAGGCAGCAGGAGCTTGAAGCAGCTGTCGACATCGAACCCACAATCAGCAAACAGGGAGGGAAGAGCGCTGTTTGCTGGTTTTCAGGTCACTTTCTCTATTTTACGCAGTCCAGGATGCCAGGAATGGTCTTGCCCACACTAAAATGAATGCAATCAAGCCAATCCCCCAGCAGCTCAGCTCTCCCACATGTCTCTAAATGTGGCTAAGGTGTCGGCTTCACCGTCATAAGGACCCTTTCTCTTTACGGGCCACAGTACCTACAGATCTGGTCACAACTGCAACTCTTACTATTGGCACTACTGTTTTGTCTGATTCTAACTTTGATCTACTTTCATATCTATTTTCCCCTTTAAAGTCCGAACTGTCCTCTGTCCCTCTGAGGGTGGTAAATCAAGTTAGACAACAGAGATGTGGCCAGAAACAAAACAAAACCTACCAAGGATGTACTCATCTTCCGATGCTCCAGAAAAAGGTCGGCAGGAGGACTAAAGGAGAGTCGGGTCTGGGAAAGGAAACACAAAGTCATTGTGAGTGGGTGTGGAAAGCCGGAAATCTCCTGCATAAACCCAACCAACATACTCCAAGAATGAAACCTTATGGGTGATGGTCTCCCTGGCTTTTGAAAACCATGCACTGTTCCCTGGGGAATGAATGGGTGTGACTGTCAAGGTGAACTAACAAATGCTGGTTAAATAGCCCGCACTTAGCATGGGATACAAAAGAATACTCAAAGGCTGCTGTGAAAACCAGTTAACCTGGTGGGAGCTGCGCTTACACAAAATTACCTGGTAAGGTGACTATCACTTTAATACTGAAGAAGGAACGCCTGAGCACTCCAACAACAAACCTCTGCGTTTAACCTCTCACTTAACCTCGGTTAAGTCACCATCGCAGACCCACAGTCTTCGCCCATGAACAGAGGGGGGAACAAGACAAAAAACAAAACCAAACCAAAAGAAAACAACTTTCCCTGAACTAGACCATCTCATGCTGCAGGGGCAGACTGGGGGAAAAACAGCAGGCGGAGCAAGGGTGCCGACGGCGCCCAGTGACACCCTGAGAATCTTTAGCAATGCGAGGAGGGGCTGTCGAGCGAGGTAGGCATGCAGACAGCGCCTCCGGCCGGGCCTCCCTATGTCCGCACGCCTCGTCCTCGAGCCATCTACGCAGCCCGACGCGGATCCCGCACGCTGAGGACAGCAGCCGGCGAGCGGAGGCTTCGCGCAGGCGTCGATCGCTCAGGCGGGGCGCCCTGGACGAGACCCAGCTTCCCTCCCAAGGCCCCGATCTGCACCCTCAGGCCTCACCCAGGAGGCCGCGCCGGGCCCGGGTCTCGCCGGCCCGGTCAGCTCGGCCCTCGGCCTCCCGGGCCTGCAAAGCCGCGGCCGCCCTCTGCCGACCCGAACGCACCGGCCTCGGCCCCTGCAGGCTCCGCGGCCCCGGCTCGCGCAAGCCAGAGCTGCGGGTGCGAGGGCGGAGGTGCAGACCGCAGGAAGCCAAGGCGGCGCAGCTGCCGTGCGCCTGCGCGAGCACGCACGCAGGCGAGGTGCGCACGCGCAGCAGCGCCCCAGAAGTAGGCTGGTCCCGTTGCCCTCCTCTCACCCGGGGCGCTGGGTGGACTCCCAGAAGGCTACGCGCCCCTTGCTTCTAGGGATCCTCGCACAAGTTTCCTCCTCGTTTCAGCAGCACGTGGGCGCCAAGCTGAGAGCGACAGTAACGGCAGTCCAGTGGTCACCCTCGTGATTGTCCTCACTCCCTCTGAATAGCCTCACTCCCTCCAGGAATAGCCAGTCACCTAGACCTCTCTTGGCCCCGGGGCTTTTAGGTAGAAGGCAGATTCCAACAGTTGAAAGGCAAGAAAACTGTGCATCGTGCTCTGCTAACCGAAGTGCTAGAAATTTCCACCAAACACTTAAGTACAAGAAATGCCCAGCAATTCTTTTCCAAAAAAAGGAGACAAAAATGCTCGACTTTCTGGGTCACACAGCAAAAAGTTCCAAAAGCAACCAGAGCGGACACACAGAAAGGAGAAAACAGGTGCCTCAGCACCTGCGTCTGAAACTTGACGTTTGTTGTCAGGCAACAAATATGGTCAAACATGGTCAAACATGGTACCCTGTGGTTGGGGATTTCTCAAATCCCGCCGGCCTTCCCAATAATGCAACGGTGTTCTTGTCCTTTCGGTTTCGAACACTGATGAACTCTGAACAAAAGCTGACAATGCAAAAACAAAACAAAAAAGCATGGAGATGCTGGGGCGAGAAGGCCAGGCTCCACTTCCTTCGGAGGTCTTCTCGTTCATGTGGACACTACAACTATGGCTAGCACTCACCAGCTGAGAGCTGGCTTAAAGGTGCCCTCAGACATGAACCTTTAGTAGCACCCAGCACCCAGCACCCAGCACCCAGCACCCAGGTCTCTATCACATCTTCACAAAGTCCCTCGCAACCTCAGTCCTGTTGTGTTTGTCTATAGTGGTCTTGCTTTCCCTAAAATGCAATTCACACTGCATTCTTTAACTATAGATTTCCAAACCTGTGGGTTCTTGTTTCTTCCACTCTTCTTCATCCCCTTTTCTTCCACCCTTTCAACCTCCTAACACTAGATAGGAGAGAAAAAAGGACAGAGGTGAAAAGAGGAAAAAAAAAGACAGAGGTGAAAGGGGGTGATGTTATCATTAGACTACATCCTGCTAATTAGGGGCATCGAGTTCCTTGGGGCAAGTTTGATCTTTGCCATCAGGATATTTAACTTCTTCTTGTTTCTTTGCGCTTGACTACTTAACAAGCCTTAACCGCCAGCATCCAGCGAACAACCAGCAACTCGCCTATCAGGGCCCTAGCATTTATATCCTCTGACAAGTTCCCAGAGTTTCAAATGTCACACACTCACAGAAGCTATAGGCTGCTGGCAAAATCATACCCCTGCTAGAGCACGAGGCAAATCATACGGGGCTGCTGTGAATCAGCTTCATATCCCCACACCTGGGGTTAAAACAAAAACATATTCTCATAATACTGCTGCGTTGCTGTTTCTAAAGAAACCAAAATTTCCAAGTTCTCACTACACAAACCTCCACATACATGCTCAGAACACATCAACCCATCAGTTACACATGTTGTCTTTCAAACCGGTTGCCAGGTTGGAAGGCTGATGACCTCACAGGCTTCCGCCCCTCCTGATTGGAAGGGCCAAACTCTGTGGAGCTAGGCAGCAAAGTGGACAAACACTTTCTCAGGCTCTCCTCCACAGCCGACTTCTCCCTCGACCACCGGAGAACCGGGAGCAGATTCAGCTGGAATCTGGGAAGAGGGTGGGATAGACAGGGGTCTAGGATTTGTAGAAGGAAAGAAAGAGTCTAAGAGAACCATGGCTGCCGGTGAATCATCCTCGCAGTCTGAGGAACAGTGTCCCCAGCTGAGCACCACGGTGTCCTCACCGGTGCTGGATGAAGACATCCTAGGTTACCAGGGTGAGAAGAGATGTGAGTGGGCGGCAGGAAGGAGGAGGGGAGGAGTAAGGGAGGAGGATGGCAGGGACTGGAGGAGAGGACGGATGGTGGGGTGTGGCTGTCACGGGAATTGAAAACTTACAGAGTAAGGAAGGGGAATAGAGAAATTTAAAGTTTTTTTCCTCAGGAGGCAGAGACAGGCAGATTTTTTTTTTTTTTAGTTTGAGGCCAACCTGGGTCTACAGAGCAAGTCCCAGGACAGCAGAGATAAACAGAGAAATCCTGTCTCAAAAACAAACAAACAAAAATAAATACATATAATACTTAATTAAATTAAAAAAAACATTTTTAATCAAATGGAGAAATAATGTATAATGGGGAAGAGACTGAGATTTCAAATGGGAGTGCACAGAGAGGGAAGGAAAATCTACGACATTTCCGTAAAGAGCATGTAGTTCATACATTGTGAAAAGAACAGACATGGAGGATAGCTTGGTGGATGGGGTGAATGTAGGAGACAAGTTGACCCTGAATCCTTAGAACAAGCAGATACATCAATCTGTCAGTTACACATGTTTTATTTCAAACTGGTTGCCACCTTGGAAGGCTGATGACATCACAGGTGTCCGCCCCTCCTGATTGGAGGAGACACACTCCATGGTGGCAGGCAGCTGGGGGGACAACAGCATCTTCTTGGAGCTTTCCTTCACTCTTGACTTCTCCCTAGATGGGGGAAGGGATGCCAGGTGTGGATTCAGCCAGAGTCCAGGAGGAGGAGAGGATGGATGAGAGTCTGGGATTTGTGGAAGGGGAGCTACAGGTTGGGAGAATCATGACTGCTGGCCAACTGTCACTGTGTTCTGAGGAACAGAGCCCTCAGCTGGGCATCACCAAGCCTTCATCTGGGGTGGTGGTAGATGGGGAGATCTCAGGACTATCAGGTGAGGGGACTGGGTGAGAAGAGATGTGAGAGGGTGACGGTAAGGAGGAAGGGTACGGAAGGAGGGAGGGCCCAGAAAGCAGAATTGGAGGCAGGGAGGACAGGAGGTCAGACTCAGATGTCACATGGGCTGAAAACCTGCAGAACAAGGAAAAGGGTTGGGCACCAAGACTCAAAGACAGGACAGAAAAGAGGGGACCCAAGAAGAGATTTCCTTTCATGTGAACAATGTATCTCTAATGAGGAAGAATCTTGAGGAACAGGGAGAGGGAACAGAGACAGAGTGAGGGGACACTAGGAGGAAATGGCACAGTGGTCTGGAAAAGGCAACATCGGAAGAAGTTTGGGTGTTTGGGGTAGCGTGGGGGCAGGGCTGAGCTTCACACTGGGGTGGGCTTTCTTCACTTAGAGCCAAGAGTGGAGGTCAGCCCCCAGGCTCCATCCACCAGCCCAAAGAGGAATAGGGACTTGTCGGATTCTGAGGATGACCTCGCCGAGCTGGTGGACCCTGAACCTCAGCCGCTGTGGTCCGTGGAGACCCTGTGCGGCCTCAGGATGAAGCTTAAGAGGCGGCGCATGTCTACCGTGCGGCCTGAACACCACAAGGTCTTCACCAGGCTGCTGGGTAAGAGACACCTGCACAGCTCTTTCCTTCAACAAGACTTGTAGTCCAACCCCCTTCCCTGTGGAAAAGCTGCCCTCGCAATCCATCAGCCTGGAGGACTGATGTTCAGGAGAGTCTCGGGCATGCCTAGGGGCAGGGGCTTAGGCTAGAGTTGACACAGATCCACTCGAAGGTGAGAAGCCTTGGCGTTCACCACCCCGCTGTAACTTGGCTCTGACTTCGCTGATCTTGGAGCGTCTCACCCCCACAAGGGCAATACAGTTATGTCCTCACCCTCACATGACATCAGATGGGACTGTCAGCATGAGGGCTTCTGGCCTGTGACGTGGGTGTCTGGTGCAGAGAGGGGATGTGACAGGGCGTTGAAGCATCTTGGTCCTGGGACGGGGATGTAGCTCGGTCGCACAGTCTTGTTCAGCACAGTCAGGATCCTGAATCGATCCCAGAGCCACATGCACATTACATCGTAAGCGTGGTGTGCCTGCAGCACCTATGCTAACCTCCACTCAGCACCTGCTCTCCTAGTCTCCAGACCAGGCCCTTGTCCCTTCCTCTCCATCACTCCCCTGCAACTCACGCTAGGCACTCTCCTAGTCTCCTTTCACGACAAATAACACCATAAATAACAGAACAAAAAGCAATGTGGGGAGAAAAAGATTTATTTAGGTTTACACTTCTGTGTCACAATCCATCACTGAGATTAGCTGGGCAAGAGCTCAAACAGGAACAGAAGCAGAGACCTGGAGGAAGGCGGCTGTTTATTTGCTCGCTTCTGCTCAGCTGGCAAGACCCACCTGCTAAGGGGTGGTAGCACCCACCATGGGCTGGGCCCTCCTATGTAAACCAGCAACCACAAAATTTCTCCAAAATATGTCCACAGGTCAATCTGACCGAGGCAATCTCCCAGTTGAGACTCCCTCAGGAAACTCAAGAGCAGAAGCTAACTCAAAGAGTTCTCTTGTCATCATGGTACATAGACATAACACCTTAAGGCATAACCTTTCCCTTCTCGTCTGTCCCCAAGATCTGGTGTTAATACAACATAAACAGTGTATAGCTTCATTTTTGTTTTGTTTTTAAGATTTATTTACTTATTATGTATATGAGTGCTCTATCTGCATGTACATCTGCAGGCCAGAAGAGGGCATGAGATCCCAGTATAGATGGCTGTGAGCCACCATGTGGTTGCTGGGAATTGAACTCAGGACCTCTGGAAGAGCAGCCAGTGCTCTTAACCTCTGAGCTATTTCTCCAGCCCTCGTGTAACTGTAAAAGCCTCATGGTTTATAAAGCTTGTCTCTTAACTGTGGGCTTTTGTAAAATAAAAAACAAGTTAAATGTTTTCTTACTCCACAAGGAAAGAAACAGGGCATAAAAACAACCACCCTTGAGAAATAACCAAATCCAGCAGTGTAGATAAAATCCTGTAGCTCAGTGTCTGCGTCCGGATTCCTTTGTAATCTCACAGCTCTGAAGGCCGGGGCAGTCCCCTTCCTCAGCTCTGTCCTCCGGGTCACACACAGCTTGTCTCGAAGGCTCAGGTCCACACTTGTCACTGTCCTTGTGGGTCATCACACGGTCCTTAGCATCTCCAGTATCCTGGGGTCTCTACTGAAACTGGGTCTGCAACTTCGCCGGTGGCCACTCCTGGTCTCTCCTCTGAGTAGCAGAGGACTCTGACCCTGTTTCACAGTGCCCAGACCCAGCATTCCCCCCCCCCGCCCCCGCCAAAGCCCTTCAATCCCGCAGCTTTCATGGCATCAAAACCAGTACAATGTGGAAATTCTTTTTTTTTCTTCTCTCGCACAATACATTTTTTTAAAATTCAGTTTACCCTCCATCCCCTCTTCCAGAGCCTCACCACATCCCCTCTCCCCAAGATCTACCCCTCTGTTTCCCTTCAGGAAAGAGTAGGCTTCCTAGGGACAGAAGACTAGGCGCACACCCTCATGTCAGGGCTGGGCGAGGAAACCCAGGAGGAGGAAAAGGGTCCACGGTTCAGGCAAAAGAGTCAGAGACACCCCCACTACCATTATTAAGCATTCCAGAAAACAAGCTAACAGCCATACCACATATGCAGAGGACCTAGCAGGCTCCCGGGTTGTCGCTCAAGTCTCTGGGACCCCTGTGAGCCCCACTTGGTTGATTCTGTGGGTCATGTTCTCCTGGTGGCCTCAGCTCCTCTACCACGTGGGAGATCTTTCGCTTTACTGTGGTCTTCCACCAGGTCAGGTCGGGATACAGCCAGTTTCTGTGCCCTGACTCTGGAACGCAGGTCCCAGAAGATCACAGCACGGCGATGTTGATCGTCTTTTTTTTGTTTTGTGTTTTTTTGAGAAAGGGTTTCCCTGTGTAGCCTTGACCGTCCTGGACTCGATTTGCAGACCAGCCTGGCCTCAAACTCACAGTGACAATTTTTATTAATTGACCCCAATTCTTCAGTCCTAGATAACCAATAACCACAGATTCTTAAAAAAAAAAAAAATCACATGAAAGAGTCTGGAGCTCCCGGGCCGCACTTCCAAGTGTCAGCACTTCTTTCGTCATTCCTATCATAGCAGCTCCCACAGAGGAGCCTCTTCAGCTTTGCACAGTACATGGCTTCTCCAGCCCGCAGTTCCAAAATCCTTTCACAGTCCTCCCCTTAAACAACACACCACCACAGCAGCACCGTTCCTGGCATTAACCAAGGGTACCAAAGGAACGTAAATGGTAGAACGAGAATTTTACATGCACACACACACACAGACACGGACACACACAGTATTTGGCTCACAGTATAGCTGAGCGTGGATACTCCAACAATGCCAGTCCTGACTTGAACCCTCCCCCAGGAGGCCAGTCCTCCTGGCTTGCCCTCCCAAGCTGTTCCTGTTCACGCTATGACCCATGCGCTTTGTTCACAGAGGATCCCGTGGTGAAAAAATTCCTGGCCTGGGACAAGATGCTGAGGGTCTCTGACAAGGTGAGAGTCCCGCCCTGAGCTGGGCTCCTGCTCCTGTCCTACCTGGGGAGGGACCTCACCCAACCAGGCTTCTGTCTCTCAGTGGCTCCACCTGAAGCCACACAGTCCTGGCCCTTGATGTCCTCCAGTGTCTCTCTTCAGGGCCTGGCAGCGCCTTACAGAGTGGACAGGATGCCCCTGCCACATTGAGGTCCTTGGGATCTGAGCCCAAGGCCACATGCTTATCCTGGGAATGGCCTCTTCCCCACAGCTCTCTGGGACCCTTTGCTCCAGCTGGCTGAAGACCTCCTTGTCCCTGTTGTCCTAAACCCTCCCTCAGAACTGACCCAGAGCCAGCCACACTGGAGCAACAGGGCCTCCTCCCTCTTACCCACAAGCACCCTTCCACCCTGCAGCACCCAGACCTGCGGGCTCCTCTCTGGACCTCACGCCACCTCAGCCTCCCCTTCCTCTGTGCCTCAGTCCTCCTCTCAGGGTGTGACTTCCCCCTTCTTGTCTCCTCTCAGTACCTCTTGTCTATGGTCATAGCCTATTTCAGCCGTGCTGGGCTCTTCTCCTGGCAGTACAGGCCCATCCACTTCTTCCTGGCTCTGTGAGTATCTCCCCTCCTCTTCCCCGTCCCCCTCCCTGGGTAAGGAGGTCACCAAAAGCGGGACTCTGGCCTGTCCTTGTAGCATAAATGTCCTTAAACTGTTTTTTTTTTTTTTTTTTTAATTAAAGAAAACTAGCTAACACCAGCTAGAAAGTTAACAAGGGCTGGGGAGGTGGCTCAGGTTACAAGTGTGGCCGCACAAGCGTGAAGACTCAGGTTCAGGTTTTTCTCACCGACATGAAGAAGGCAGTCCGGGTGCTTGCAAGTCCATCGCTCGGGGGTTAAGTAAAGACAGAACATCTGGGGTTCAGAGCAGCCCTCATAGCCTAGCTGGTGAGCCTGAGGTCCTGGTCTCATGAGTCGAGGTGAACTGCTCCTCGGAAAACTGCAGGTTGACTTCTGGCTACGTTTACTTGCTCAGTTGCACACACACACACACACACACACACACACACACACACACACCACCAGACTCACACACTCAAGGATGTACAGAACAAAACCAGGAAACTGAGTCCTTTGAAGAGACTCAGTCCTGTCCCTGAGCACTAAGGTGCGGCTCTGTCCCCTCCTTGACTGTCTCCCTCGAGTCCTGCTTCTTTGGCAGTCTGAGGTTGTGACAAGTTGACGGTTAAAGCTGGAACTCCCAGTATGAACTCAGCCATCTCTCTCGGTGCTCTCCAACCAAACTCAGCCACCACCTGATCCTCTCTCCCTTCTTGGCTCCTTCCAGTGCTCACACCTTCTATTTCAACCCTGTCTAGGTGTGTCACACACTTGTGCCCGGATCAAGTAGCTCTCCCTAAAATTAGTTCCTTCTCTGAGATCTAGCAGGCCAAGGTGGAGCATCCCAATAGCTGAAACTCTCAGGAGGCTGAGACAGGAAGCTCTCTTGAGCCAAAATATTAAGGACATCTTAGCAACAAGCAGGGCACCTCAGATCAACCTGAAAATGGACAAAAGCTACGTCTGCCGGTTTGACCTGCCAGCTTTTGTCTCCAGAAGAGCTGGGATGTCTGGGGATGGAAGAGATGGCTCAGGGGCTGATAGCCTTGCAAAGGACTGGAGTCTAGATCACAACATCCATATCGAGCCACTCACAACACTGCAGGGGTCCAGCCCCCAACACTGCAGGGGCCCAGCCCCCAACACTGCAGGGGTCCAGCCCCCAACACTGCAGGGGCCAGCCCCCAACACTGCAGGGGCCA